TATTACAATATCAAGCATGTTACAGGTATACCATACAATCCTACAGGTCAAGCAGTCATAGAAAGATCAAATCGAACTATAAAGGATATGTTGAATAAACAGAAAGGGGTGGAAAACACCCCCAGAAATAGGTTACATAATGCTTTGTTAACCTTGAATTTTCTTAACGCTAATGAGAAGGGGACAACGGCTGCAGAAAGACATTGGATAATGGAAAAGTCTACTGAACTAAATCAACCAGTTTATTTCAAGGATGTGCTGACCTCACAATGGAAGCCAGGAGATGTGCTGCGTTGGGGAAGGGGTTTTGCTCTTATCTCCACAGGTGAGGAACAATTGTGGATACCGTCAAAATTAATAAAGGTTCGGTATGAAGAAGAAAAGCCATTTGGAAAAGATAAATAACAATTCATTCACAAGGATGGCGAGCATACTGATGGTAAGGAATTCAGGTAGGTTGGGGGCAGGGTTTTTTTTTTTTTTTATCTCCACAGGAAAATACTGATCTTCAAAGAATTTAAGGGACCCTGAATATTTAATAACTGATGGATGGAAAATAGTTACGACCCACTAAGACTCAACAGTAACATGAGTAAGTATTGATTATATATATATTTTCTTTTTTCTCTTTGAACGCTTCTTTATAAATATGTAGAGCTGGTTTTGGAGTTGGACTATGGCTCAGTCCCTCTTCAATTCCAAGCCTGTTGATAAGAGATATCTCAGAGTTTCTGTCTCAGATCAGGAGCCATGAAATGGGACAGAATGAGGATAATTATATACTTGATAAACTTTCTTTGCTTTTCCTCATATCTGTGTCTTTCTTTATATGTCAGAATATGTCCTTGTTGTTAATGTTTAAATTTCCCATAACAAGCAACAAATTTCCCTACAGTAATTTTTGAAGTTTCCAGGATGAAGATGGGGCCCCACAACATCAACTCAACCTGGTTTTTATGACGTCATGAATATTTTTTTTCTTTTTCTCTTTTTTACGCGCTAATATGAGACCTGTTTTTTGGTACCAACTGCACAAGACAATTTCGAATGGTGCACATTTTTGACAACACTCTGGCCGGACCTTCTCAAAGTGCTCAGGGACTAGTTATAATTTTCTTAGGTCAAAGGTTAATTTGGGAATTTTACCATCATTTGCTTTCACAGGAGCCCCTAAGGAGAACATCGCCCCCATGTCAGCTTGAAGCAATCTTAGAGGACGACGTCCCCTCTCCCAACAGAGTTTGCCCTCAGGGTTAGGGACATCTTTTAGTGGTTGGTTTGGGGTTGAGGGGATGGGGAGATGTTTTATGGAATTAGGGGTATGTTCGAAAAAAAAAAAAGGGGGGGGGATTAACTGGTTTGATGGGATGATTGGTATTTGTGAGTTACTGTTTTTAGAAAATTGTATTGGTACTGTTTTCTGTATATTGACATATTGAATATTGAATGTGAGTGTTCCTACCTCTATTTTTGTATAAGAATATGCTTATATTGTATTGATACATCTACCATATCACAATGTACATTTCTACCTCTGATACTATTTATGTAATAACATTGTTTACATTTGATATGTAATGACATTGTTTACAGATGAAGATCATTGTCTTCATATATTGCACAGTTGTTTATTGTTTTAGTCTTTAAGTTAGATAGATATTGAGAATTATATAGATTAATAGTCATCTAAGTTTGTCATTTGTAATTAGACTAATCAGGTTCTTTAGATATATAGAGATTATACTCAGTATAGATAGATAATCTTCAACCTCTTTGGAGAGCTGTAGAATATGGCCTTTAATATAACTCAGAGTTTCGTGATAGTGAGACACAATTGCTCCTGGCAACACCGCTCTATTCCCGAGAGAACGTTGAGCACCAAAGACACTCCACTGGGAGCTTGTCTTCTTGGCAGAACTGGCCTTTGGGTTAAGAAAAGCCCATACCTCAACCACTGACAAAGATACAGAGCGTGCATCAATGGATACAACAGGACTGTCATATCCTGCCAAGACAGGGTAAGATAGTTTTGAAAAGTTCCTTGCCTTTAATAATGGTATGTCAGTTATGTTAGGCCTTAGCCAAAGTTGGTTGACTCAACATTGCAAACGAGACTTTGGGTGATTGCTCAGGTAGTCAGTTGTCTTTGTCAATTGTTACACATTTGGATCGTTTGTTAAGTAATATTTATTGCCTTCTCGGATCTTTGATGGAGTTGAAGATTATATAATTGTAGTTACTCTCTACATTATTTAGACTCCTTGAGATAGAATGTTTAGCAAAACTTTTGATTCTCAATATTGTTTGTTATATTTATTTGTTATTATTGTATATCGTTGTATTTGGTTTAGTTCTGTCTTATTTAGACAAAAGGGGGAGATGTAGGGAAAAGTCCCACCCCTTAGGGGGCGTGTTCGCCTCAGGCTAAAGTTCTCCTATAAAATTGGTGAGCGTGCTCCCAGCGCTCTCTTCTGCTTTCCTGGTCTCCGCGGGAACAGTGGTTCTGTAAGTCTATTCCTCCATTAAAGCTGTCTATATTTTGACAATCTGTCTGCATTCGCTTACGCCGTTACATATGTTTGTTTAACGTATAAAATAAAACACCGGCGCCGGGGAGACGGCTCTGTGGGAATCCGGGCTTGCTGCCAAGCCCGATGATGACCTGAAGTGGATCCCTGGAAGCCACGTGTAGATGAGAGAGTGGCCGTAGAGTGCTCAAACTCTGCCCCCCACCCCGTGCCCCATGTTCTAAAAAAAGAAACCTTACAATATATATAAAAAAATACTCTAAACTAGGTGTGCTGGCACATGCCCGAAATCCCATCAGCACAGGTATGGAAGCAGGAAGATGGGGAGTTTAAGGTTATTCCTCTGTTCACAGTGAATCAGAGGCCAGGCTGCGCTATATGAGACCCTGTTTCACACAAATACCATCAAGCACAAAGGTCAACCCTCCCGCCCCGTTCACAACGTATGTTTTCTCCCAGAATCATCTGTGTGTGTATAGCTATGTGGTGAGTGCAGGAATGAACATGTGTGCACATGAATAGATACATAGATTAAGTAGAGCAGACGTGATAATTCAGGAGCCACGCTGTAGCAAAAGCCTTATTCAGAGATGAGCAGCGGAGACTGCCACCCTGATAGCCGCTGGTCCTCTGCGTCCTGCTCCTCAACACTGCCTGGGTACACGGTGGCATCGGGCAAAGACCTTTGAGCCAGACCCAGCCAGCGCTGCGCCTTCTGAGTCCCCAGGGAGGATTCCTGGGTTGTACTAAAGCTCACTATTTCCTCTGGGGAAGGCACTATGCCAGAGGCGTGTCACTGGCTCCATTTCTGAGGGTGTCAGGATCTCCTGAACCCTGACTCCCAGGCGGGTGGGGGTGGGCGGTGGTCCTTGAAGCAACAAGGAATGGGTCTGAGAGTCCCCTTCCACCATGTGACTTCTTTTATAAACAATGAGAGGGCATGTATGCATGTGTGTGCATATCTGCATGTGAGTAGGTACATGTGTGGGGCTATTCATGCGTGTACACATATGTGTATATATGTGTGTAGGCATGTATGTGTGTGTATGTGTGGAAGCCAGAGGCTGACATGGAATGTCTTCCTTGAGCCCTCTCTGCCTAATATATTGAAGCAGGGTCTCTCCCTTGGAGAGCTCTCTGACTTGGCTAGTCCAGCTGACCTTGCTCTACATCACCAGCCTCCACCTCCTGAGATCACAGGTAGACTGCCATAGCTGCCTGGCATTGACTTCCGTACAGACTCCACAAACACATCTAACACTGGCCCACCTACAGACACCAGTGGCAGCACGTGTGTGACATGCAGAGCCACGCACTCCATCTGCAGACGCACGTGGTCCATGTTCATCCTGAGTGAGGTGGCAGGCTGAGTAATCGGGCTCCGAGGCAGTTTGGCCCGCGTTTGGTTCCCCTGCTTTCCCATTCACTGGGTTGTCTGGGGCACGTCACGTAACACAGTTTCTCTACCACCGAGATGGAAGGATACAATACATGTAGTGGTCGTGGTGACTTGCGAGATGGAGGCTGGAGGGTCAGAGTTCCAGGCCAGCCTAGGCTACATACAAGAGGTGGCAGGGGAATGTAGCTTAGCTGATAGGATGCTAACCTAGCACACACAGGCCCTTGCATCCCCTGTACCACATGAAGCAGGTGTGGTGACATCAAAGTCAGCATTGTTTAAAATAAATACACAAAATATGAGCCGTATTTGCTCCATAACATTAGGAGAATTAACAGTATCAGTATATATAAAATGCTTCTAGCAGGCCTGGTACTTGGCATTGCTTTTCATATAGATGGTTCCCAACTTGATGTTTTGATTCAGTGATCTTGACTGTCTAGTGATGGAAATAAAACACGCATTCAGCAGAAACCACACCTTAAATTCTTACCTTTCCGTTTGCTTTTCTGTGAAGAAATTGAGCAGTGGCAGTGAGTGTCACCCCTAGTTAGCCACCAGGTCACAGTTATGAGGGCATTTCCCACACTTGACACTGGGTATTTTCCACCCACAATGGTTTGCTGCGGTGCAGCCTCTCTGTTGGCTTTGTTTTGTTTTGTTTTAAAACAGCCTCATAGAGACCACGCTTGTCTTGAGCATGCTGTGAGCTGAGGATGACCTTGAATTTATGATCCTCCTGCCTCTCTCTTCCAAGTGCTGGAAATTACCGGTGTGTACCACCACTCTCAGCTTATGGGGTTCTGGGGATTGAATTTAAGGTTTCCCTGGATGCGAGACAAGCTGTCTCCCACTGAGTCACACTCCATACCGCTAAGACACACCCCCATACCGATAAGCCACACCTCCAGCCCCTTGCTGGCAGTCAAGGAGCTTCAGGATAAACCTGAACTCACATGATCACACATATACCTGCAGAATAGTGCGAATATCTCTAGGCACACGCTACACACAGACGTGAATCAACATACAAGCACATGTATGCCCACCCTCATCCCTGGCGTGGGGCTTACAGAAGAAGCATCTTGTCTCCGTTGTCATTGGGCCAGGCCACCACACACTTGGTGGCCCCCTGGTCCACGGTGATGGTGGAGTAGAAGCACTGGGGAGAGGCGAGAGCCAGGGCTACCAGCCAGATGCCAGCGATAACCGCCTTGGTGCTGGGGGCGGAGAGCCGTGGCTGGAAGGGATGGACAATGGCCATGTACCTACAAGCAGATCACAATATCAGCTGACATCCTCCCCTTACCTTGCTGTTCAGGCCAGTGTCTCCCTGTTCACACAGCTGCCCTGTAGGCAGATGCTGGAATCCCATCCAATCTGCAGAGGTGGTGATGGGGAGGTGGTGACTGTCTCCAGCCATAGCATGCTAGTACCCCAGAATCTAGCCCAGGAACCCATTCTACTGCCTCCCTCTGGGCATGGACAGGCCCTTGGCCAGACTATGATCCAACCCAGAACAGGGTACAGTCCAGCACTAGCCTGAAGCGCAGCCTGACTTGAGTGTATGTATTCTCGTTCCCAAGTCAGCTTCCCACCACTTTTTATGGTACAAGCATTTCCCAGACAAAAACCAAACCAGTGATGCCCTCTGGAACTTTCTGCAGCAGTAGCTGTATCTGACACACACAGGGTCCCAATCAGTGACCACTCACCATAGGTGCCATAGGACACAGACGATTGTGTCTGAGGATGAGCAAACATTTTATTTTTCTTTGAGACAGAGTCTCACTTAGCCCAGGTTGGCCTTGAACTTGCTATGAAGCTGAGGATAACCTTGAACTCCTGATCCTCTTGAGTGTAGTGAATTACAGGTATGGATTGCCATGCTTGATTTATGCAGCACTGGATAGAATCCAGGACTTCAAGCCGCTAGGCATGCATTCTACCACCTGAACCCGTTCTGTATACTTGTGCAGGCACAAGCTGAATCCTGCAGGCATGAATCTTTCCAGCCGTTCTCGACCTGAGGGTCACGACCCCCACAGGGGTCACACATCAGATATTCTGCATATCAGATATTTACATCACAATTCATAAAAGTGGCAAAATTATAGTTACAAAGTAGTAATGGAAATAATTTTATGGTTGGGGGTTACCATAAAATGAGGAACTGTATTAAAAACACTAGGAAGGCTGAGAACCACTGCTTTAGACTCTGCACCTTGCCAATGCTTGGTTCAGTCCGCTCTCACAGTTTTCCCTGTGTCTTAGTTTTTGTTGTTGTTTATTTGTTTGTTCAACCTGACACAGCTAAAGTCATTTGAGAAGAAGGAACCTCAGTTGAGAAAGTGCCCCCACCAGGTTGCCCTGTGAGCAAGCCTGGGGGACCTTTTCTTAATTTATCTTTGACGCTCTGGGAGTCAAGCTCATGGTGGGTGGTGTCACCCGTGATTAGGCAGTTCCGTGCTGTGTAAGAGAGCAGGCTGAGCAAGGCACAGTGCAGTGATGTTTTGTTTGCATTTTAAGAAATAAAGTTTGCCTGAAGATCAGAGCGCAGAGCTAAGCCACTAGAGGCCAGGGAGTGGTGGCTCACACCTTTAATCCCAGGACTCTGGAGGCAGAGGCAGAGGAATCCCTGGGAATTCAAGGCCACCGTGGGCTACAGAAGGGTAAATCTGTCTAAAAGAGAAACAGAACTCACACAAAGATGATCCCAGCGCTTGTGGGTTTGAAACAGGAGTGATGTGGCTGGGCGAAGAGAGAAATATAAGGCAGGAGAAGACAGGAGCTCAGTTCAGCCTAGGCAGTCAGTCAGAGAGCGCAGTCTGAGGACAGGATCACCCTTTAGGCCCGAGCATTGGTAGAGGTGAGAACTCCCTAGTGGCGGCTTTCTCTGCTTCTCCGATCACTCAGCTTTTGTCCCTAATATCTGACTCTGAGTTTTTATTATTAATACCAATTAGAATTCATGCTACAACACAGGAAGCAAGTCAGTAAGAAACATTTCTCTATGGCTTCTGCTACAGTCCCTGCCTCCAGGTTCCTGCCCTGACTTCCTCGTGAACTGGAAGTAGAAAATGAAATAAGTCCCTTCCTTCCCAAGTTGCTTTTGGTCTTGGTTCTTTATGACGGCAATGGAAACCTTAACAAAAATGCCCTGGTAGAGCCTCCCCTCCCCTTCAGAAGCTCCTCCTTCCTGCCTGCACTCGCTGAGGTCATAGACCACCTTCTTGATGAAGCTGTCCAGAACAGGCTCTGCTGATGTCTCTCTGCAGGGCACCGCAGGGACTTGGGTTGCTGTTGAGCCCTGTGTCTGGGGAAGCGTAGTGGTCTGAATGGTGAGCATCATCTCCATTTCCCACACCAGGAGGCAGAGCAACGCTGACTTTGAATCCTGATTGGTCTCAGCTGTCTACCCCTGAATTGCTCTGTTCCCTGTTCTTCAGGACCCACACAGGGAGCACCCTGGACTTAGTGGGGGCTCAGGCTTCATCAGCCTAGGGCCCAACCGAGGAAGGCTCACTGCCTGTTTCTCAAAGGCTAGAGGATCCAAAGGCACCATTCTCCAAGGCTGAAACCCATCTTCCTAATATGTACCCTAACCTAAGGCTTGGTTCCCTTTTAGCAGAGATCAGGGCAGGATTAGATTGGCAACTCCAGGGGTCACAATGAAGAACACAAACTCTTCATTACAATAAGATTAACTTATTTCTTTTTGAAACATAGCCTTACTACTTAGCCCTGACTGGCCTCCGGCTCACAGAGATTTGCTTGCTTCTGCCTCTTGAGTGCTTGAATCAAAGGCAAACACCACCATACCCAGCAGTTCATTTGAATTTTGAGGCAGGGTCTCATGTAGCCCAGGCCTGGTCTCATACTATCTGTGTAGCTGAGAATGGCCTTGAATTTCCGATTCTTTCATCTCTACCTCCCAACTGCTGAGCCATGCGCCACCATGCCAAGTTGAAATATTTGCCTCCATGCGGGTATTGGTACAGGTGTGTGTACCGTATAGAGCCCGGAGACCAACTTTGGGGGTTTTTCCTCAAGATACCATCTTCCTTGATTTTTGAGACAGGGTCTCTTGATGGTCTGGAACCCACTAGTTGGGCTAGGCTGACTGTAGTAATCTGAATGTAATTGGTCCCCATAAACTCAGAGGGGGAAGCACTATTGGGAGGTGTGGCTTTGTTAGGGTAGGTGCGGCTTTATTGGAGGAAGTGTGGCTTTGAGGTCTCATATATGTTCAAGCCACACCCAGTATCTCAGTTCACTTCCTGTTGCCTTTGGATCAAGATGTAGAATCCTCAGCTCCTTCTCCAGGACCATGTCTGCCTGCACACTGCCATATTCCCAGCCGCCATGCTTCCCACTGTTGCGGAATGTGTTACTCTTTTGGCTTTTTGAGGGGTCCACCGCCCAAGTTCCCAAATAAATCACACAAGGAGGCTTATTCTTAGTTATGAATGCCCAGCCTAATCTTGACTTATTTCTTGCCAGCTTTTCTTAACCTTAAATTACACAAGTACCTTTTGCCTCTGGGTTTTTAATCTTTCTCAATTTCTGTATACCTTTCTTTGCTTCTCTGTAGCTTGCTGTGCCACCGATCCCTGGCATCCTCCTCTCCTTGATCTCGGGTCTCCTTCTGTTTATCCTCTCTGCCTGCCAGCCCTGCCTATCCTTGCTCCTGCCTCGCTATTGGCTGTTCATCTCTTTATTAGTACCATCAGGTGTTTTAGACACACACAGTAACACAGCTTCACAGAGTTAAACAAACGCAGCGTAAACAACAGTCACACACATGAAAATAATATTCCCCAACACCCTACTATGATAATGGACTGAACCTCTGAAACTGTCAGCCGTCACCTCCTTAAGCGGTTTCCTTATAGAGTTGCCATGGCCATAGTGTCTCTTCACAGCAATAGGAACCCTACCTGAGACACTGACTGTCCGTCAAGCACTGGGAATCCTCCCATCTCTAACCTCTCCTGCTCTGGGATTACAAGTTTGTGCTAGCGTGGAGGGAATTCAGGTATTCATGCTCACACTGCAAGTTCTTCACCGGCAGAGCTGCCTCTGCCTCCTGAGTGCTGGGATTAAAGATGTGTGCCCCCACCCCTGGTCTAGAAAAACATTTTAATATGAGGGCCAGCTATAGGGTGGCTCATGCCCCATTAGCAGAGGGTAAGGTTCTGGGAGTTTAGAATCAGGCTGATCTGGGTTCGAATCCTGTCTCCACTACTTCCTGACACGATCTTGAACAAAGAGCATTAGCTCTCTGGACCTCCCATTTCCAGCTCCATGAAAATGGGGTCATTCGTGCACGTGGGTTGTCGTATGGAGGAAGGGACACATGCGCACAGGAAAGAGAACAGTCCTATGAATTCATTGTTTTAAATTCATCAGAGAGGGCTTTGGTGGGCAATGCCTGGCCCTCCCTCTCTAGGATGAACCTGAGCTTTGAGACAGGCCAGAACTGTAGACTGTGGCACTGAGTTGCATGTTTCCTGTTTGTTGAAATAGAGGAGTCCACACTGGAGCATCCTGGGAGTTAAGACTGAGCCCCGAGATCCTTACCACCTTATCTACCGCTTGGAATGTTTGTCTCTAGAATTCTCTAGGCTGCCCTGATCTACTCATCGTTGCTCAGATCCCAACCTCCCAATGGGTCCATCCATGTTCATTTAAGCCCGTAGCCCAGTGGTTCCCAACCTGTGGGTCTTGACCCCCTTGACAAACCTCTGTTTCTAAAGATATTTATAATTCATAACAGTAGCAAATTTACAATTATGAATCAGCAGCAAAGATAATTTTTTGGTTAGGGTCCACAACATGGAGAACTGCATTAAAGGGTCACAGCGTTTGGAAGGTTGAGAACCACTGAGTGTAGACTGTTCCTCCCAGCATATCTTGGCATCTAGAGAGCCCCCTCTAGCCAGTATTTGTTTCCAACACTCATGATCTCAAAATACAATTACAATTTTTTATTCATGTGCTTAGGACTTAAATTCTTACCCTAGCAGGAACATTTAAATGGGTTTCCCCCACCTAAACCGCAGAACAATACTTACACGGCACACACTGAGTATATATTTGCTGAGTGAAGAAAGGGGGCCAATGAGAGGGCTCAGTAGGTAAAGGGGCTTGTTGTGAAGCCTGAGGATCCGAGTTCAAACTCCAGAACCCACAAAAGGTAGAAGGAAAAAACTGAGTCCTACAAGTTGTCCTCTGACCTTGTATCGTAAGAAATGTGCATGTTAGCACGTGTACACACACACACACACACACACACACACACACACACACACACACACCAAACAAACCAATGTGATAAAAAATATTAAAAAGGCATGGAGAAAGGAATTGTGAGTCAGTTTGCTCAGACCCCTGCTCTGCCACTGGTCATTACCTCCTGCTTGCCTTCCAGGCTCCCTGGCTTCCACCTAGCTTCCTGTGGTCCAGCCTCCCTCTGAAGTGGAGGCTCTAAGACCTCATGTGCTAACATTGTTTTTCCCCCATCAGTGGAGGTTCCCCCAAACCTGGAACTGTGCCCAATACAGAGGAAGCACCCCAAATTTGCTGCATGACAAAAGAACTGCTTAGGGCACATTCAGACAGACCCAGGGAGGAGGAAGGGATGTTCAGCAGGCACCAGCCCAATTTGGAAAGACTTCTCCTGAACCCACTGCCCAGAGGGCCCTGGCTCTGCCCTCTGGCTGACCTTAAGTAGCCCACTTATCCTGATTCCCCAGTTCTGTTGGGTGTAAAGACAGAAGCTGTACCTAATGAATGGTATTCAAAGAAATTTTGTGTGTGTGTGTGTGTGAGACAACTGTCTTTGTAGCTTAGGATGACTTGGGCCTCTGGCCTTCCTCCTGCTACTTCCGAGTGTGGGAATTACAGGTGGTGGCATGCACCACCATCTTATATCTGATTTATGCAATGCCGGGGATCACAGCCTTTGCGTCAAACACACCAAGCAAACACTCTGCCAACGGAGCTACATCCACAGCCCCAAACTTCTCATTTTTAACAAGTAGAAAACATTGTCAAAGAAAAAAATGTTTTGAAAACATTGCCTCAAAGGAAATCCCCAGAGAACCCCACAGAAAACCATCGATAGCTCGGCGGGGAGAGGCCGTGGGGGAAGGTTGCTGGGAGAAGTTGGGGAGTGGTGGGGGATGAGGGAAGAAAGGGAAGCTCACATCTACCCAATCATTGTGATCGGTACTCTTTGTCCGAGGGTCTCATGGCTCTGTCACCGTCCGTCTCCTGGACTTCCTTGGTCTTTGAATCATCTCATCATACTGACTGTTAGTCAGATTCCCGCTCCCCCAGGCATTTGAGTCTCCTCTTTTACCCCAGCCTGCCTGCCCCAGAAGGTCTCAGTGCTACTTCTTCCACCCCATCCTAGGCCCATTTCTCAAAGGCTGGCACCCTTCCATGTAAACACTAGCAACATCTCCCCCCTCCCCAAAAAAAGCATAGATCTAACCAGAGACAGCACTCTAACCCCACGCAATATTCAACTTTTTTCCAAATACAAAAACAATCTGCACAATTTCCTTGTATAAAGACAGTAAGATAGGAAGAATCACACTTCCAAAGTCGCTGGGAACATCGTCCCTTCCCACCTTGAGCAAGCTCCTAGGGTAAAGTCATTCTGTGTCTAATCTCTACTCTCCCTGCTTTGGCTCCGCATCCCCCTGTCTTCTTGCTATGAACCCAGACCAGGTCTAGGAGGCAATCCTCTGAGCTCTCCAACAAAACACCCACCCTGGTGCCCGCTCTTGCCTGTCAGCGGCGATGGCAGTCATGGAGTAGATGCTGACGAATATGGCTGTGATGGGAAAGAGGTTCTGGAAATAGCAGAAGGCGCGACCGAAGTACCAGATGTTGTGACTGGCATAGACGAAGTTGAAGGTGGCGTTGAAGGCTGCCATGCAGAGGTCTGCCAGGGCCAGGTTGATGATGAAATAGTTGGTGACTGTACGCATTCTCTCATGGGCCAGAATGATCCAGATGACTGTGGCGTTGCCCGTGACAGCCACCAGCACCAGGGCCAGGTAGGCTATGGCCCACAGCGCCAGCTGCCAGGCAGGCATGGAGAAGGCCGTGATGCCTGTGGTGTTGCTCTCGAGGCCAGATAAGATGCTGGTGTCAGTGACAATGGCATGAGCCCCCATGGCTGATCCTGAGCCTGGAACACAGGGTCTGACCCTGCAGTTCGTACTGGAATTGCTACAGGAGAGAAATCCTCTTTGGAGTGTAGATATTCGGGGGGGGGGTGTGGACAATTGGAAAGCAGACACGTGTAGCCAGAGGACCACACCTATGGCTCAAGCAGGAATGAGTTAGGGCGAGCAGAAGATAGGGTTCCAGCCAGACTGTTCAACCATCTTGTGGAGATGGAGACCCCAAACTCCAACCTCAGAGCAGGAGGCATCCCAATTACCCGTTGTTTCTGCTCCTTCAAACCAGAGTCAGAATGAGGACATGTCCAGCCGTGGGCATTTAGGAAGTTGGTGACCAGCCAGGACTTGAATTCATCTCTCTCTTAATGCTACTCAGGATACATGCCAGTTGAGAGGTGTGCACAACATGGCGAGTCTGTGGGTCCTTCAGGTCCAGTGTGCAGCCAGCAGACCTCCAAGCTTTGCAGGGTAGCCTCCCAAGGCTGCCAGCGGCCAGCCGCTACTCCCAACTCCTCCTTACAGGCTAGGTCCTTGGCAGAGTTGCTGCCTGCTCCCGCCCTCATCCCACCCCTTGCCTGGATGGCTGGGCTGTGTCTCTGGAAAGATTTAGGACCTGCTGGGAAGCTGGGAGAGACCTCGGGAAGCAAGGCACAGCCTGGGTGGGGGTGGTACAGAGGGTACAAGCCTCAGTGTTTACATTCTGCCTGGTGGGAGCTGTTCCACACTGGCATTTGTATTTGGGAATGAGAATGAGTCCAGGCTGGCTTGGGAACCCCAGGAAAGACATTTACTCCACTTGCAAAGAAAGTCTTCATGTTCAGATGTACCCAGGGGGTATGAGGGTGAGTTTGATGTGGTTTCAGTCACGTTGTAAGGGCTAGGTTCTGGGCCTCTGACCCTGCTCCTGACTTATTGATGGACCAGGCAATCCTGGTCATTCCTCATCTCAAGCTTCAGATTCCTTAGATGTAAAATTAGAGACTGAGGGTACTGGAGAGATGGCTTAGTGGTTAAGAGCACTGAGAGCTCTTCCAGAGGACCTGGGTTCAATACCTAGCACCCACATGGCAGCTCACAACTGTCTGTAACTCCAGTTCCAGGGGATCTAATACCTTCACATCAATGCACATATCATAACAATGAATTTTTAAAATATTAGCAATTGAGCTTAGACAAATAGTGCTCAAATCTTCTCCACCCCCCACACTTCTCTCTCAGACACGGACTCATGTATCCCTGGCTGACCTCAATCTCGCCATGTAGTTGAGGGAGACCCAATCCTCAACTACAAATGCTGGAGTTAAAGGTGTGTGCCGCTCAGCCTAGTTTATGAAGTGCTGGGGATTGAGCCCAGGGCTTCCTGCATGCTAGACACACTATCTATGAACAGAGCTACACCCAGTTCTGAGCACTGTAGGGTGGAAGTGAGTGCAACTACAGACTCTAAGATAAAAACAATGCTAAACCACACATCCTGAAGCTTTTTTCCCCCCTGGTTTTTCGAGACAGAGTTTCTCAGTGCAGCCTTTGGAACCTAACCTGGGACTACACATTCTGTAGACCAGGCTGGCCTCAAACTCACAGAGCTCCACCTGTCTCTGCCTCCCAAGTGTTGAGATTAAGGTTGTGTCAGTACCACCCAGCAGGTTTTTTGATTTTTTTGAGATCAGGTTTCTCTGTAGACCTTGAACTCAGAGATCTGCCTGCTTCTGCCTCCTGTGTGCTGGGATTAAAGGCGCGCTCCACTACACCTGGCTGCACGGTTTCTTTCTAAGCAGTTCTTCCTGTGAGCTTCCTGATGAGCTTATCAATGCCACAATACTATCTATTGTGTTTGCTGTTCCCACTAGACCAATGTGAAAAGTATATTTGGGGGCTGGAGGACCCAGCTTTTGACTTTGGAGAAGAGGTACTTCTGGGACCCCTCTCTCATCTTCCCTGGAATGAGCTAGAGCAGTGGTTCTCAAACTGTGGGTCACAACCCCTTTGGGGATCAAAGGACCCTCCCACGGGGTCGCCTAAGACCATCAGAAATATCAGATATTTACATTAGGATTCACAATGGTAGCAACATTTCACTAATGAAGTACCAACAAAAATAACTTTATGGTTGGGGGTCACCACATCATGAGGGCCTGTATTAAAGGGTCACAGAATTAGGGAGGTTGAGAATGGCAGCCAGAGGATCCTGAAACTCCTGAGCCCAATACGGAGCCGGCCATTTTGCCAGGCCACGAAAGCTTATTTCTTCTCTTGGATGGGCCACCATGTTTTGACGTTGGTCTCTTACCAGAGGGCCTCTGTCTTTGACCACGTGGTGGCAGCGGCGGTATCCAATCGACCCTGGGTTTGCTCCTGCCCTATGCTTCTTTGGCCTCCCTCCTGGAGGGCAAAGTCTGTAGCAGTAAGAACGGAAGCCATTTTCTCCTTGCTAGCCCGATCTCCTGGGCTCAGGCAGCTGCACTTGGGTGAGCTTTGGTCCACAAACCCAGCGGAGAGCTAGGATGCCCGAGAGTGTGTCACCAGCTCCAGAAGCCCGGAATAGCACATCCCCGCCCGGGCCACTCCACTGTGTATGTAATAGGGATTATACTTTGGAGCTATTAAATCTGAGTTTTTATTTCCTCCTTAAATCATAAAGTCTTGCAGCTTTCCAACAATGTGCCGGAAGGCTTGTAGGCTCAGGGAAGGAGAGGTGCAAGACGGGACACAGTGTGGCTGGTCAACTGTGCTATTTCAGGACAGGCACTTGGAATCCACAGGCCAGTCTTCAAGAGGGAAGAGAGGTGTTGTTGGTTGTTTTTACATTTTTTACTCTTTTGGCCCTTTTAGGCCGGCGGGGGGGGGGTGGTGTTGAGGCACCCAGCTGCCAAATAAATCACCCACGGAGTCTTATTCCTTCTTATAAATGCCTGGCTAAAGCTAAAGTTTGGCTTGTTTCTAGCCAGCTTTTCTTAACTTAAATTATCCCATCTGTCTTTTGCCTCTGGGCTTTTATCTCTCTCTATTTCTATATTCCTTTCTTTGCTTTCTCCACAGCTTGCTGTGTAGCTGGCCTCTGAGGTCCTCCTCTCCTTGTTCTATTTTGCTCCTTCTTTTTTTTTTCAAAATATTTATTTATTTATTATGTATACAATATTCTGTCTGTGTGTATGCCCACAGGCCAGAGGAGGGCACCAGACCCCATTACAGATGGTTGTGAGCCACCATGTGGTTGCTGGGAATTGAACTCAGGACCTCTGGAAGAGCAGGCAATGCTCTTAACCTCTGAGCCATCTCTCCAGCCCCCTTCTTTTTCTCCCAGATCTCTCCTCCTATTTATTCTCTGTGCCTGCCAGCCAGCCCTGTCTATCCTTTCTCCTGCCCAGCTATTGGCCGTTCAGCTCTTCAGTAGAGCATCACGTGTTTTAGACAGGCAAAGAATCACAGCTTCACAGAGCCAAACAAATGCAACCTAAAAGAATGAAACACATCTCTTCATCATTAAACAAATGTTCCACAGCATAAACAAATGTAACCCACCTTCAACTAATATCCCGCAAAAGAGAGGTATTTTAAAGTCCTTGTTGGGACATCAAAATGGGAGGGTTAAGCCAGTCTTGGTGACACAAGGCAGAAAGATGAGGACTTAAAGGCCATCCTTGGCTACATAGCCTGCTCGAGGCCAGCCTGGACTACATGAGACCATGTCACAGACAAATGGTCTGGGGAGATAGCCTTAAAAGCATGAGGACCTGAGTTCCACACCCAGAACCCACATAAAATGAGATGGATGTTGTCTCGGTTAGGGTTTCTTTTGCTGTGAAGAGACACCGTGACCACAGTAATTCTTATAAAGGAAAACATTTAAATGAGGTGGTGGCTTAGACTTTCAGAGGTTTAGTCTATTCTCATCATGGCGGGGAGCCTAGAGGCATGTGGGCAGTCATGGTGCTGGAGAAGGAGTTGCTACATGATGCTAAGCAGGCAACAGGAAGTAGACTGAGACACTGGGAGTGGCTTGGGCATAGGAGAACTCAAAGCCTGCCCTCGGGGCTGGAGAGATGGCTCAGTGGTTAAGAGCATTGCCTGCTCTTCCAAAGGTTCTGAGTTCAATTCCCGGCAACCACGTGGTGGCTCACAACCATCTGTCATGAGGTCTGGTGCCCTCTTCTGGCCTGCAGACATACACACAGAGAGAATATTGTATACATAATAAATAAATAAATAAATATTTAAAAAAAAAAAAAGCCTGCCCTCACAGTGACACACTTCCTCCAACAAGGCCATAACTCCTAATAATGCCACTCCCTTTGGGGGCCATTTTCTTTCAAATCACCACATTCCACTCCCTGGGCCCCAAGGGCTCATAGCCATATCATAATGCAAAAATGCATTCAGTCCAACTTCGACAGTCCCCATAGAGTCGAATAGTTCCAAACTTATTTAAAGTCTAAAGTTCAAAGCCTCTCCTTTGAACTTTAGATTCATGAACTTTGAGAATCATGCAACCTCTTAACTATAATCCCCTATAAAATCAAAATCAAAAAACCAGATCACATACTTCCAACATATGGCACAGAATATACATTACCATTCCAAAATGTAGGGGAGGCAGCATTGTGAGGAAATACTGGACCAGAGCAAGACCAAAAACCAGTTGGACAAACTCTGAACTCTGCATCTCTGTGTCTAATGTCAAAGTACTCTTCAGGCCAGGCAGTGGTGGCGCATACCTTTATCCCAGGGCTTGGGAGGCAGAGGCAGGCAGATCTCAGTGAGTCTGAGGCCAGCTTGGTCTATAAGAGCTAGTTCCAGGACAGCCAAAACTGCTTTACAGAGAAACCCTTCTTGGAAAAAAACACTGAAAATAGGAAAAAAAAAAAAAAAAGCATTCTTCATGTCTCCAACTCCATTCAGCTTTGTTGACTGTGACACACTTCTTTCTCCTGGGCTGGTTCCACTCCTTGTGGTCAGCTCTCCTTGGCAGCTATCCCACAGCTCTGGCATCTCCAACATCTTGGGGTCTCCAAGGCAATTCAGGTTAGCCTCAAGCTTGAGATCCTCCCACCTCTGCCTCCAGCATGCTGGATTTACAGGTGTGCTCCCATAAAACCTGGCTCACGAGCTGTCTTTAGCGTTTGGGCAACTGTGTGTTTGTTCTGTAGACTGTGCTGGGTCACATCTTTGATGGGTCATCCGGTCATCACAGGGCAGTGATAAGAGATGGAGGGTCAACTGCACCAGACAAACTAGGGACAAGAAGGACAACTTGGTGAGAAGTTGAGCCTTTTTATTCAGCTCCATGAAGTTAGTAGGGTCATGTTTGCCTGCCTGCTGGTGACAAATGTGAATGTCCACAGGTACTTGGAGGTAGAGGCAGGAGGCTCAAGGTTAGCTTGGGCTACATGAGACTCTGTCTGAAAAAAAAAAATACAAAGATCACTCTGAAGCTTTGGCCTTAGTGTTTGGGTGGGTGGGGGTAAAAAAATGTTCCTTCTTTCATGAAGGTACTGATGAGGGCAGGCTGTCTTT